TCCCACTGGGCACAGCCCCCTCAGAGCACCTGGCACAGGGTTTCCTAGAGAACTGTTAATATTTCTGGCTCTTCTGCCTCTGATTGGGCTCCTGGTGGGAAAGTTCTATGTCCTATGTGTCTGGGTCCCAGGGCCCAGCAGGAGGCCACAGGGAAAACTGTGTGAAGGATGGACAGGCCCACTCAGGCTCATGCCTGGACTTGGCCTTGGCTGCCCCACCCCCTACCCCCAGTCTAGGTTCCACTCCAGTTAATGAGTGCTTAGCTTCCTCTCCCAACCCACCCCCCGGCCCCACACAGCTGCCTGTCCCTGTGGGAAGGGACCCACAGGGAATAAAGATGTCTTCATGCACACTCATCATGGGGCATACAGGGGGCATTAGTATCTTGCAATTGATTCCTAACACCCCACCCCCACCCCCCTCCCAGGTCCCTGAAGAAGTCTGGTGACATCTGGCTGGATGCCTACCTCCATCAATGAAGACAGTGCCCAGGCAGGCGGAGAAGGGGTAAGGGCCCAGGGCCCCACCGACAGCAAGCTGGCCCCAGGCAGGATCAGCACCCCTACCCTTCCACCCCCAAGCCTGGGACGCCCTGCCTGCCCTCCTGGTCCAGCTGTCCTCCCCTCAGCCCCATGCCTGTCTGTTCAGCAGCCTTACAGTTGTGACTCTGAGCCCAGAAGGACCGGGGGTAGAGGCAGGGTACATAAAGCCACGTGTGAGCATGGCACGTTTTCCTAGAGCAAGAATTGGGAGGGAACTGTTATTTTTATATAAAAATAAACCCAGATATATTGTGCAGTAGAGTGTTGAATTTGCATGAATTTTGGAGCTGGAGTCTGCCTCAGGCTTCCCAGAGGTATTCAGGCCCTTGGGCCATCGGCGTGTAGGGGGGTGGGGATGGAGCATAAGGAGCTCCCCTCGGTTCTGGGTGCTCTGGGTTGGGGAGCCGGCATCTGCCCAGCCTCGGATCCACCTGCCGGCCTGGTCCCTTCCTGTTCATCCACTTACCACCGAACTGGAGTGGGTCCTGCTGGGCTTCACCTTACTTTACCCCTCTGCATGATGGGACAGGGGCTGGTCCAGCAGGCGAGGGCCCAGGGTTGAGGGCCTCCAGAGCACAGGACAGGGAAACCAGGGTGTCCAGTGGGCCACTACCAATCTCAGTACCATACTTGGCATCCCATGGGTGGTGGCAGTGCAGCCTCACTGCTCCCAGTGGCCCAGAGGAGGCAGCACCAATCTCCCCCAGGCCCACTGCTGCAGCAAATAAGCTGGACCCCCAAGGCATGACACTCCCAGCCATGAGCCCTCAGTTTGGGGACTTGCCCCAACTGATTGGCATCCTTGGGCAGAGCACTGCCCTTCACCAGGCCTCAGGCTCCTCATCTGGACAACGGGTGCTGCTGGACTGTGCCTGTAGGTTTTTGTGTTCTTTCTGTTTTTGTTTTTTGTCAGTTGGCCAGTAGGGGCATGCCTGTGGGTTTTTGGACAGTACTAGGTAGGGTTTTGACTTGCCTCTTGGGGCGTCCTGAAGGTGTTCCCTCTGCAGGGAGTCCCCCTTTCTGTCGCCAGTTGTCCAAATGCTACTGACTCCTGGCACCACGTGGGCATGCCCGAGCCAGGGAGGGCTGCAGATGGCATTCCCTCCGTCCCCTACCTACCTGGCAGGGCTCTGTCCACACCCTGACAGCCAGCCAGCAGAGCTCCTATGGTGGCCCTGATGCGCTTACTGGGGAGATAGGTGTTAACACCACGGGCTCTGGGGTGGGGTGTGCAGCGCGCCTCAGCCCAGCCGGACCGCTGAGCCTGCAGCTCCACCCGGGGGCGCCCGGAGTCTCTGCCGCGTTGTGGGGCGGGCTGTGCTCCATGCTGCCCCTGGTGGTGATGGAGGGGAGTGCGCCCCCGTCTGCAAATCGGAAGTCACAGGGTAACTTGTTCATAAGGCCCTTGGGGGAGACTCCCACCCTCAGTAGCCACTCCAGGCCTTTCTCTGTTGCCTGGAATCCATCACTGGTGGGTCACCTTTGCTCTTGTCCCACTGCGTCCACCATGCTAGAGCCCCTGGGAACAGGTCACCCCCCATGCCTAAGCTGAGCTCCCCTTTCCTGTCTGTAGGTTATTCAGTCACAGAACAGATGGGGAACATGGGCCAGGTTTGTAAAAGAAAAGAGGGAAGGGTCTTGGTGGAGCTTCTAAGAAACCCTGCATCCCTTTTCTTATCGTCTGCATAGAGTCCTGGGCCCAGAGAAAGAGCAAGACCAGTGAGGGAAGCCAGGACGTTTTATTTGCTCCTTCAGCCACCCAACATCAGCCGTTGGGGAGGAGATTCACAAGAACTAACCCCTGCCTGTCATGTTGGGAGTGGCCAGTCGGGGGAGGGGAGGAGGACAAACTCCCGTGTGACACACCTCCCCCACACCCTGTCCCAGAACACCTCGCCACCATCTGGCCTTGGCCCTTCAAGCTTACAATTCCTGTCACTGATTCTCTTGGATACTTCCTCTTGAACCAGCTGGCTTGGAAGAAAGACCTAACTGCCTTCAAAATCCAAAGGGATGGGTTCATAACAGTGAAGGACAACAGACAGGATTGTGGTGTCCTGGCATGCTGGCTGGCCACTTGTCCTATTTATGCACGAAGCCAGTCTGGTTAGAGACATAGAATCCAGGCAAAAGCACTGGCAAAAGCTTTGGACCCGGGGCCAGCCTTCCCGGTGCTCCACTGACATAAACAGCTTCCCTTTTCCACCTCAGACATTAGACAGGGGCTGGTTGAGGGGCTGTGTCCTGTCCAGAGGGGCACCTCTCCAGGGATGTGCAGCTGGGCACCCAGGGAGTCTTGGCGGGCCTGAGGCACTGTGTCGCATGGGTGGTGGTGGCCAGCTGCTTCCGATGGCGGCCCAAGCCTGGCCCAGTGGCCACCACCTCTGCCCTAACCCCTCCTTGCCAAAGGCCTTCTCTCCCTTCCCAGCAGGTCCAGAAGACTTCTGAGTGTCCACCTGGACACCCAGGGAACTTGCCAGGTGGTGACCACCCTGGTGCTCCAGCTCCACACACAGCCCAGGCTGCTCTGCCAGCCCCTTCTCTGGGCCTGGCGCCCTGTGCATGTCCACACCACCCACAAAGCTGATGTTATCCTTTTATCTTGGCAGCCAGCACTTAGGGTGAGCAGCTCTTATCTCCTCCGCAGGGACTAACCGCCCTCCACCGCCTCCATCCCCTTTGGCCAGCCACTGGGCCTCCTGGGAGCAGTCTGACATTTGATACGATGGGGGCGGGGGTGACTTGGTCTGGGAAACAGCGCTTCCTGTGCAGGAAGAAATGACCAGGGAGACTGTTGGGTTAGGAGCAGAATTCCACTGCTTGCCCTAATTTAGCTATTGTCACAGTGTGGCCTGGGGCCAGTCCTTCCTCTCTCCGTCTCAGCCTCCTCACCTGTGAAAGGAGGTGTCAGGCTTATGTAATCTCGGAGCCTTGAATGTGAAGGTGTTACTTTAGCAGGGGATAGAGAAGGCCATACTTCTGGGGGTGTTTGGCAGGAGACTCAGCCATACTGGGACAGGAAGGTGCCGTTAGGCAGAGAGCAAGTATGGGTGTCCCACCTTCTTGACCCAAGGGTAGGACTTAGGGGCAAGGCAGGGGCTGAGGAGAAGTCACAGAGAAGATCCAAGTGCCCATGGATCTGGGCCAATAATTTCCTAGTGCCCTCATAGCTGCAGCATTTGCCCAGGCTTCAGACCTCCCTCCCCGGGGTCCCTGGTTGTCATGGATGATGGGCCCTGGGTTTCCAGCTGGAAGGGGGGAGGTTGGCGGCCATCCCTGCCCTGTACCACCCTGGGAGTTGGGGGTGCCAGGTCTAGCCCAGGTAGTAGGCAGAACACGGGCACAGGTAAGGATGGAAAGCTGCTCTCCAAGGTCTTCCAGCCTCCACCAAGTCTACCAGGAAGGCAAGGCCAAGGGCTCTCAGGTGTTGAGAGATGACAGCCCTCTTGGAACCCCCTAGCCCAGTCCCTTCACTGTACAAATGGGAAGACCATGGCCCAGAGGGTGGGGGGAGCAAAGCGCTCACCCAGGGCCACTCTGAGTCTGTGGTGGGTCTCTGCCTCCTGGCTCAGGGCTTCCTCTGCAATCCCAGGCCCTACTCCAGACATCCTGCGGCCACTGGGAATCACACACCCCCCTGCCCTGACGCTGGCTGTCCCTTCCTGGCTAGGCTGACATCAGGCAAAGCTGAGGTTGGGGCAGTGAGATGGGGGCTAAGGTCTACTCTGGAGCCTTCCCCAGCCCTGCCAGGAGGAGCCGCAAGGCCAGTTGGGGAGCCCCTGACATGCTGGCTACCCTGCCCCTCTTGGCTCTCCCCAGCACACCCAGCTTGCCAGCTGAGCCAGCTGAGGGATGATCAGAGCATTGCGGGGCCAGCGGGAGGCAAATTGTACCAGTGTCCCAGCACTTTCCCTCAGGCTCTTCCCAGGCTCTGGGGTCTCTGTGCCATTGCATGTGCACCTGTGACCACAGGCTGCAATGATATCACCTCCCCCAGGCTGTGGGGACTAAGTGAGCCACAGCATGGGCACAGGGGTTGCAAGATGGAAGAAAGATCTCCAGGGTCTTCCTTCTAAAGAGTGGGATTCTACTTGCCCCTGGTGCTCTGTGGGAGGACAGCGGGTACACTCGGGGTGATGGGGGGTGAGGATGTCAGGAAGGTGGCCTCTGCAAGCCCTTCCTTGCCACCCTCCAGAGGCATTTCGGAATTGGGTTGGGATCAGCTGCTGAAAGAGTTCTCAGGAGGAGTGAGGCAGCCCCATGTTTTTGGATCATTGGCCCAAAGTGCACTTCAGAGGGGATGAGGGTAGGATGATGACGGGGGCCAGGAGAGGACACAGGGGTGCCCAGGCCCTGAGGGGAGGGCCTCCCCACCCCCACCCCCACCCCCAATACCATGCCTGTTATTAGCCCGCAGGAAACACACTAGCCATAGATCTTACCGAGCAACAAAGAAGTGAGAATAAAATTACTTCTTTTATTTCCAAAAAAATGTAGGGGTGGGGAAATAACACGATAAAAATTAAAGTCAGTCTTCTATGGATTCATCCTGACTCTGGGGGAGCATACAGTAGCTGGCTAGGCCCAGGTGCCCCTGTTGCCATGGCAACTCGGAAGCCTGTCAATGTCGGATGCTGGTTCCTCCTGGCTGGCCAGGGCTGGGGGGACTGGGAGCCCTCCCCAAAGGCCCCTACTCTGAGTCGGATATGCCTCGCCCCTCCCCGAAGCTAAACATTGGTTAGTGGGTTAGATTTCGGAATGCAGCAGCTGTGGGTCCCTCTGGGTAGCGGCAGCCTCCCCCCTCCCCCCTCGCTCATCCCTTCAGCCACCCTCACCCCCAGCCCTGACCTCCTCCTCTTCCCAGCTCCCACTTTGCCCTGGCACCCCAGAGTTGCCTCCTCCCGACTGTAGCATGGTGAATAAATCTGGCTCAGCCCACGGGGGCTTGGGGGGGCTGGCATGGGGCATGTGGTAAGGCAGATTGTCAAGGCCCAGCCCCGCTGCCACCCTCCTATAAGAATGTATTCTGTAGCAAAAGGTTAAAAAACAGTACGAGTAAAGACTGGAGAGGGAGCCGGGGATGGTGCGATGGAGCTGTCTACACTGGCAGCCCCAGTATGGGCAAGGGCTGCAGCAAGACCTCCCTGGCTCGGGTGCCTGCCTGCAGCCTGCAACACCCATGGCCTCTTGAGCCAAGAGGCCAGGGACTGGCTGGCCCTGCCCAGCAAGTAACGGAGCATTTTGGAGAAGGGTCCAGAACCTTCAATCTTCCAACTAGGACAAACATCTGAATAAGGCAGGGGATGGAGCTGAGCCTCCACGCCACCCAGCCCCTCCCCCAACCTGGCCTCTGCTGAGCCCACCCAAAGTACTCCCTCTTTGGCCCCAAGACCACAGGCTCTGGCTCTGAGACCTCCAGTTGCAGGGAGGGGGGCAGAGGAGGACACTCCCTGGGCTCCAAGGTCTCAGCTGTCTGTGCTGTGGGCCCAGGGCCCAGGACATCTAAACGGAGGCCCCAGGTACTGATCCCAGCCATGGAAAAGAGACCCAGAGCACAAGGCACCCCACCCTACACAGGGCAGGCCACTGGCGGCGTGGAGCCAGGCCCGGAGGGTCAGGAGGCTTGCCTGACTAGGACCCTGCCCCATGGACCCCAAGAGTGTCTGAGGGACAAAGGGGGGAGTGTGAGGCCTAGTGGCCAGGCCACAAAGAGGGGAGTCTCAGGCCAGACCCGTGGACCTCTGGTCTCAGATCGCTAGGGGTCGAGAGTGGAGGTGGGGACAGAGCCACTGCCTGCGGCCACCTCTCTCTGCTCCTTGGGAAGCGGTGGGGAGAGACCTGGGGCTGACAGAAGGCAGGCCCAGGAGGACACAGTGCTGGGGGGAGAAGTGAAGGCTAAAAGGAGAGGAGAGAGAAAGACCAAACCTGGGGTCCATGAGCCGGCGTGTGCCCCCGCCTCTCAGGTACCCCCCCAAACAAAAGCCCACCCTCCCCTCTGGCTACCATCCCCACCTGTGCCCCTAGCCCACGGGTGCCCCAAGGGCGGAGGCTTCATTTGTGGAGGTAGGCGTCCAGCCACAGCTCCCCAGAGTTCTTCAAGGACCTGCCGGGAGAAGGGTAGAGACCAGTGGTCAGGGACCCGGCTGGGACAGGGCAACAGGGCCCTGAGGAGCGAGCAGGAGAGGGAGGCCATGATTGGGGTGGCAGGTGCTCCTCTCACCCCTCAACCAGGGCTTGCCACTGCCACGGGGCCAGCAGGGCTGCTAGCACAGAGCTCCCCAGGGAAGCCCTAGTGGAAGGACAAAGGGAAGGTCCTCTTCCAGCCCAGGGCAAGCCAGGCGATTCCTGACATAGGTTTAGGAATAAGGGAGGTGCCCTGCTGGGGGGAACCCCCTCTGTCTCCACCATGGGTGATGTCAGCTGTGTGCTTCTCAATCCCCTTGGCCCTCACCCCAGCCCCTCTCTGCACCCTACCTGATGATGTCCCGCAGGGCCCTCAGCAGTGGCTTCTCCTGGTACTCGATGCCGTGCTTGGCGCACAGAGACTTCACCAGCGGGGCAACCTTGTGCAAGTTGTGCCGGGGCATGGTGGGGAAGAGGCTGGGGAGAGCACAGGGTGGGCAGAGGTGAGGATGCCCAGGGGGCCGGGCTGCTCCCTGCCTCTTCCCGTGGCCCAGCGAGACCCTATTCACAGCCAGGACAAGGCTGGGGGCGGGTGTTTGTGCCCACCGGGGCCACCTGGGTCATGCAGCTGGCACTTGTGGAGGGGAGGGTGGGCCATTTGTGAGCAGGGGGCATCTGTGCTCTAGGGAGCTGGAAAGAATTGGGGGGGCTAGAGACAAAGAGTCACGTTTTTTAAAAAAGGAAATGAAAGACATAGACAGGGAATAAGAGGAGGAAATAGGTGGGGATGAGAGGAACAGTGGCAGGTGAGACAGGGACAAGGGGCAGCAGGGACAGTCCCTCAGCCACCCGTGTTCCAGGCACACTATCTAGCCAGGCCTCAGCTTCCCTGTCAATAGGAAGGGATCAGTAATCCCTGTTCCGCTGGCCTCACAGGATAGGAGATGCCCAGACAAGCTCTGGCCACCCAGGAAGGAGCAGGGTTATCACTGTGACCACGTGGCTCAGGGCCAGGCACACGGGATCCTTGGGAGATGCATGTGGGAGCTCCTCTCCTGACAGTGGGTGGCTGTGGAGCCATGCTCTAAGATCAGGCAGGGACCTTGTCAGGGGGAGAGAGGTGGCCCCACATGCCCAGAGGGGGCTGGCGGCCACTGCCCTCCCAGTTCGTCTCCCCGGCCCACACTCACTGGTGCTCGATCTGGAAGTTGAGGTGTCCACTGAACCAGTCGTTGAAGAAGGATTGCTTCACGTTGCAGGTGGCTGCCAGCTGTGCAGGGGGACAGGGATGAGTGACCAGGGGGAAGGAAGACCCAAGGCCTCGCCTCATTCCCATGAGGCCCAGCCTTGCCCAGGGTCTCCCGGCCACCCCTCCGTATCATACCGTCCTGCTTGGGGGCCTTAGGCCAAGCGGACTCCCACCTGTCCCTCTTTCTGTCTTGCTTAACCCTGAGGCTACCAGCAGAAGGACACAGCAGCCCCAAGGAAGCCCAGCGTGGGTGAGGACAAGGACACGGGCTCCGGCTCTGCCTTCCCTCACCTGGCTGCTGAACCAGTCACGGTAGGGCTCGCGGTCGATCTCCATGACGATGTGATTCATCTGCGTGACCCACACAAACCAGTGGCTCTCCACGAACCTGGAAGAGGGCACAGCTCAGTGCTGCAGCCTCCGGGGGCTCTCCAGGGGTCCCGGCCACAGTGGGAACAGACCCCAACCAGCCCAGGGCAGGTGCGGGGGCAAAGCTGCAGCTCCTGCTACGATGCCGGGACAGGAGGTCCCCAGGCAAAGTGGGGGCATCTGGGTCGTTCCTCACAGGGCTCAGGTCAAAGCCCCATCAAGGCCAGTGCTCTCAAGGGCCCAGGGATTACCCAGCAAGGCTCAGGCACCTGATGAAGTTGAGGAAAAGGAGGGCTCCCAGCACGCCATAGAAAGGGATGTAGGTGATGAAGAAACGGGTGTAGTAGCTGATGGCCCAGGCCAGGTCCTGCAGGGAGACAAGATGAGATGTGGCCTGCCTGACCCCAAGTGTGCACACACTCCTCACACTCACCGTGAGGCAAAGGTGTCCCAAAGAAACCCCAGCGGATCTCTAGGAAGTTGGGTATCGGCCCACTGAGAGGCGACGCCTCCCTGCACTCTGCCTGCTTGCAAGGGGTGTGCGAGACTGCACTGTTCTACAGAAATGCTGTGTGTTTAGCAGCAGGCAGCAGACAGCTCCTCAGGCAAGAAACAGGGACAGGCGACAGGGGACATCGGCAAGGGGCAGCTGTGGGGCGGGGCTGGAAGTCAGCAGCCTTGCATGGGTCCAGGGATTCCGAAGGCGCATACATCATCTGCACACACTCTCCAGCACCCGGCCAGATCGCCAACTGTCCTTCAGCCCTGTCCCTGCTCACCAGCACCCGGGGTCTCCAGCATGACAGCACGGGAGGGCAAAGGCCAGCAGACACTGTCTGCTCCCTACCTCAGGGCCCTCCTGCAACCTCAGACACACCGGCCCCATCCCACGCCTGATTCGCCTCCTGTTCCCTCTCCACTCAGCCCTCCCTACGCCCCTCGCTGGGGCGGTCACAGCGTCCTGAGCGTGGATGTTCTCTCATTTGCTGGGCAAGCGCCTCTGTGAGAGACCACGCTGCTCAGCATTCCGCCACAGGCTCCAGGCTTCCTAGTGGCCTCCTGCTTGTCCTCGTGCACCCACGGCCACCAGAGTGGCCTTTGCCCGCTCTGAGCAGATCCCTTCTCTCCCCTCTGCAGCCCTTATCCCACCCAGTCGCCCAGAGCTCTGCAGGGTTGGGAGCCACTCTTCCCTCAGCCACCCTGATCCAGCTCATTCCCACCTCAGGGCTTGTGCCCTGACTGCCCTCTGCCAGGAATGCTCACACCCAGCTGTGATTCTACACAGATGACACATTCCATATGCTCCAGTACAAATGCTCGAGGCGGGGGGCAGCCAAGGCTGAGGAGACCGGCCAAGGCCAGGTCACAGCCAGCTAAGGGGACTGCCCTCTCTCTCCAGGGCAGTGGAGCTTCAAAGGACAGCAGAACATGTGTGTCTTAAAATAGATCCCTACGAAGTGGAGATGAAGAGGTTATTTCAGGAGCTGAGACATGAATAGACGGAGGCCTGCACCAGGACCCACAGTGCTGAGGAGGTGGTGGGTTCCAGAACTAAGCAAGAAGCAAAGACAGCTGCATTTGGTGGCCTCCTGGTTGGGAGGAATGTAGGCTGGTCCCTGGAATGATCGGGAGTCAGGGTGCCATCAGCTGAACAGGAAAGGAGATGGGAGCAGCTTGGGGGGCGGGTAGGGAAGGGAGAGCCCGAGGGCAAGACCTCAAGATCCCAGAGGGTGGTCTTTAAAGGGGCGAGGGAGGCAGGTATCACAGGTCTGCTCCTCCTCTTCGTCACATGAGATTTAGTTTCTGTGTGTGAGCGCCACGCACATACACATATGTCCATATACACATGAAGAAAATGGGGTGTGTGCCTATGGATTTATTTTGGGGTACAGAGTGACGCTCGTCCACAGGACCACTGGTGTCAGGGGTAGGGGGTGAAGGACAGGGAGGCACAGTCATGGGTGGGGTTAGAGCCGACACGAAGAACAAGAGAGAATGGTCGGTGGCGTCAGATACAACAAAACTCCAGGAAGGTGAGACCCGGAAGCCAACTCCAAGAGGTGGCCACTGGTAACTTTGCCAGGGCAGTGAAACCCCCCTCGGAAGCCTTCTTCAAAGCTTTGTGAACCTCCTTCCTCTAGCCCAGGGTTCCCAGCCTCCATGCTACTGGCATCTGGGCCTGGATGATTCTTCATGGTGGGGGTTGTCCTGTGTGATGGGATGTTAGCACCATCCCTGGCCAGATGCCCACTAGATGCCCATAGCACCCTCCCACCCCCAAGTGACAATCAGAAATGTCTCCAGATATTGCCAAAGGGTCGAACAGAACCGCCCTGCTGAGAACCACAGCCCCAGGTCACAGCTGCACTTTGGGCCCTGAGAGACCTGAGGTCTCTAACCAATGTCCCTTTCAGGGAAATGTTCCTTTTAGAAACACAGTGTGATTTCCTTTTGAGGTCTTCCTATTTAATGCTTTGCTCCTTAGGGAACAAGTAGAGTAATAAATAAATAAGCAAAAATTTAAATCATATATTTACATCAAGTCATCTGCTATAAAAGCTGATTAAAACACCCCCAGCAGCATTGCCTGCCCAGCACAGCAGGGCTCATGTTCCTTTTGAGCTGTGACTCTTCTGGGGACCCAGGTGAGCCCCAGTGGAAACAGCAGTCATGGTAGGGATAGGAAATCTGGGTTCAAATTCCACCACTTAGCTGATCCAGAAACTTAGGGTCAGTCCCTCCAGCCCTCACCAGCCTGCCAGTAAAACACAGTTAAACGACATAAGGTAGGTGGCAGTGCCTCATTGTTCCTGGAACACAGTAAAAACTGACAACACTCTCACTTTCCAGAAAATAGCATGTCCTAAAAGCAAGTTCAGACAAGTCCAAGTCTAGCCTCTTCCCCAACTCCCCACCCCTATCGGCTCCTCGAGTCCCAGTCTGGGCCCTCTTAGCAGAATCGCCAGCCACAGCCCCTTTGCCCATAATTTCAATGAGAGAATGTAAGACAAAGTACTTTGAAGCCCTTAAAATGTTCTACAAATATAAGGTATTGTTATTCGAAAAAGAGAGAGGTGGCTGGGGTGTGGGGGTGAGTGCAGGCTGTGGCATCAGGAGGCCACCCCCCAGGCAAGTCTCATCTCTCAAGGGTCTCAATACCTTTATGTATGAAACTGGGTTAAAAAAAAAAAAAAAGACCAGTGATACCTCCTAAGTGACTGTGCATTCCTCTGTTCCCTCCCAACGGCAGGGGCCATGTCTCTGTCACAGTGAACTCCATCCTGCCTCTGGTGACTGCTCCACAAAGGTTGTTGTGTCACAGGCACACTGCTGTCTTATACAAAATCAGCACTGCACGTCTGTACCAGGGAGGCCTGCCTTACCCACCACGCTGTCCAGTAGCCTCCCCAGGGCCCCTTTCTTTCTCTTTGGAAGCAAAACCAGGGGGCTCCTCTAAGCCTGTTGTTTGAGGTTGAATTGTGTCCCTCCACAATTGATATTGAAGTTCTAATCCCGAGTACCTCAGAATGTACCCTCATTTGGAGATAGGGTCATTGCAGACGTAACTAGTTAAGATGGGATCATTGGAGTGTCCCTATAAAAAAGGGTAGATTGGGACACAGATACAGATATGCATACAGGGAAGACAAGGTAAGGGAGACAGGGAAAGACGACCCTCTACCAACCAAGGAGAGAGGCCTGGAACAGAGCCTTCCCTCAGAAGAAACCAACCCTGCTGACACCTCCATTTCAGACTTCCAACCCCCAGAACTGTGAGACAGTCCATTTCTGTGCTTTCAGCCACCCGGTTTGTGGTGCTTTTTATGCAGCCTTAACAAACGAGCACACCTGTCTTCTCAGCCAATGCCCAGAGGCTCCCCATTTTCCAGCCAGAGTATAGGGTGACCTGGTTCACAGGGCCTCGGGGCTGCAGGGGACATGGGATGGCAGTGGCTGAGGCAGAGCCTCAGTTGAGTGGGCTGCATCTGCCTCTCATCACATGGCCTTCGAACATTCCCAGAGCATTTTGCAAGGGCAGTGGCTGCCCCAGTAGACCCCCCGTGTGTGTGTGTGTGTGTGCTGGAGGAGTTTTAGGACTGGCGTGCTGTGGCCTTCCTGGCTCCTGGTAGCCCCAGAGGGAGTCCCTTCCTGACAAGGCAGCTACCCCCAGGGAGGAGAACCTGGGACCCGTTAAGCCCCACAGGGGCACAGTACAGACCCCTGGGTCCACCCTCCTCCCCATCACCCAAGCCAGCTCTGCCCTTGACTCACCACCCAGTCTTTGCGAACGATCATGGTCATGATGATCTGATACTGGAAATACATGGGAATGAGCAACGGTGGCCCAACTGCAGGAGAGAGAGCAGAGGTGCGTGAGGCATCCTGTCTAGTCCTGTCAGAGCCCGCCAATCAGGAGCAGCCAGGCCCCAACCCTGAACGCAATGGCCAGCTCTGCTGCACGTGGGCAGAGGCCGCCAGGGGCCCCTGTGCCCTAGGAGGGGGCTGGGATCCCACGAGGACAGTGCACAGACAGCCCAGGGACCCTCTGAGCCTCTATGTCCCTGCCTGTAGCATGGGCCAAGAAGGGTCTGCACGGGATGGCTGCTGCGGCCCCTCCCTCTCTGAGAGGAACAGCTCTGGGTTTGAAAGGCTGTCAGGTGGGAGCAGGTGAGAGGAGGGTCTAGGGCACAGAGCACTCACTCAGGAAGAAGTACTCGTGCTGGCGGTTGTAGGGCAGGTATTTCAGCTTCTTCTTGCCGTACTGAGGAGAGAGGAGAGGGAGAGAGCATGAGCGCCCAGCAGCCTCCCACGCCCTCCCCTACCGGGCTCTGCAGCTCCTGTCCCGACCCCCTGCTCAGGGCGGGCCTCCATCCCTTTCCTGTCAATCTGCACCCTGGGCCCACTGAGCCTGGGGCCGAGGCTTCCTCAGCCCTCGCTGAATGTGTCAACCCCCCGCAAGTACGCAAGGCTGGCACTTCTGAAGCTGAGGCTCAGAGTTGTCATTGCCCAAGGCCACATGAGAAGTGGGTGCAGCTGGGATGCAAAAAACTCCACTGGGGCACAAGCATCCAGAAGGAACTCCTGGGCCAGTCTCCACCCCCTTGGGAGTGAGAAAAGTTCCCGGGTCACCATGGGGAGCTCCCCGCAGTCCACAGCAGCTGGGAGAACCCAGGTAAGGGCCCAGGAATTGTTAACAGTCATCAGGCCAGAGCATCTGCCTCTCCAAAGCCTCCTTGTAATTTCCGAAAACTAATCATTCTTCCCCAGGAGGCCCCTTTACACTTGAGGACACTGGCAGAAAAGAGGAGGCCAGAGCATGGACTCCTCGAGCCACACCTGGTTACCCGAGATCTCACGTAGGGCACCGGTCCCCACCCCCATCAGAGCCTGCATCCCTGGATGGCCTAATACCCAGAGGCTCCGACTGAGGAAGGTCGAGCTGGGGCCTGAGCATCCTCATTGTCCAACACCATTCATGCCTCTCAGCATGAGCCCAGTGCGGGAGTCACAGCCCCAGAGGATCCCTGGAGCCCTTCAGTGCCATGGTCCAGCCCCTGGGGACCAGCCCACCCTGCCCCTCGGGGACCGAGTCCACAGGCTGAGTGGCATCGGCTTGCATTGCTGGGGGGGACGTGTGGGGACCCGGGCTTGACTTGAGCCAAATGACTTGACTTTGATTAGACCTTGCTTCCCACCAGTGCCGAGACCCTGTGCCAATCACTTGCCCTCTCTAAGCCAAAGAGAACATGAGCATAAATGACAGGAGCCGACCCCAGCACGCTGCCCCTCACCCACCCGTCCCTCATCCAAAGGCCAGAGCCGCCCTCCACCAATGGTGCCCACTCCTGCTTATTGCAGTCGGGAGATCAAAGTGAGCTACAGATGGAAGAAACCTAGATGTCATCAAGGCCAGTGTGACTACCAAAATCACAGGGAGAGTCCCTGGACCCCAAAAGGAAGAGGCCGCGGGTGGAACAAAGTCTAGCCTGTCCCCAGGGCTTGCACATTGGTGCCAGCGGCCATGGTCAGGGCACACCCAGCCAAAGTACACCAGAAACGACCCCTTTGTTCCTTTTGTGTGGTCTCCTGTGCCTTGGCAAGAGTCTCACTCATTCCCAGAAAGTATGTCCATTTGCACAAAGGCTGTCATTAAGGCCAGGGCTGAGGCTGGCCTTGGAGAAGTCCCAGCTGAGGAGGCCTCGGAGGGAGCCTCGGACGATTTCCCAGTGGAGGGAGGGGCCGGAGGTGCAGTAGGGAGGATGTCCCCCGAGGTGGCCTTGTCAGGCGAGTGTAGCAGCCCAGGGTTCCAGGGAGCCTGTGGCTCTAACCTCCTCCCAGAAGCCGGGAAACAGGCCCACAGGCCCAGCCTCAGTCCACAGGCTTCTCCTGCCCTGGCCAGGAGCCCTCCCCACGACATCTGTGCCCCACAAGTCGTCCTATTCCTCTCAGGCTGGTCCGGCTCTACTGGAGGAGTGACACAAAGGGCCACCCAGGCAGGTCAGCAGAGGCCAGAGGGTTCCCACAGAGGGACTCAGGGCTGGCCAAACCTGCTGCGGAGGCGGGGGCACCTGAGGAGTTTGTTGGAAGCTGCGTCTGCATAACAAGCACACTGTGCTCATTGGTTTATGATGACCTCCGGGGAGATGACAGAGATTACAGGGCTGCCCCCAGCTCTCCCCAACTGGTGAGCACTGCCGGCTCCAACACGTGGCTGTTCAGTGCCCTGACTGACCTGCGGGAGCTGGGGGCCCTGGCTGGCAGGGGACTTTGGGATCAGCCTCTGCAGATTCGGAAACAATCCCTTATTTGAGCAAATTGTTTCACCTCCCCGGGCTTTGGGTTCTTTGTTACAAAATGGAGGTATGACTTCATAGGGTCAGTGAGGGACCAGCGTTGAAATGGATATAAAAGCACTTTGGGACGGTGAATAAGACATCAGTCACAGTCACACTGCGTGTGCTCTGTGGGGGGAGGGGTGCCTCACAAACATGCCACTGCGTCTGTTCCCCTCAGTGGCCTCAGCCAGGGCAGCTACAAGGCGGTCTGTCAGGGATGGCTGACCCACAGCATGCTCCTCCAAAAACTGGAAAGCACAACGGTGGGTCTGGTGGCTAACACTCTGCCCCGTGGCTAACACTCTGGCTCGTTTTTCAATGCTCAGGTCTTCGCCAGCACCTTGCTGTATAAGTCACAGGAGCGCGGAAGGGTTAGGAGGGGCATTTCAGAATGAACCAAGCTAGGAGGATGAGCGCCTGGGTTTTTAATTTCTCAGAAAGCTGGAGTTAGCCAACAGACACGTTTCCCAAGTGCCTGCCAGGTGGTGGCCCACAGGGTCCCCAGGACACAGAAGCCCTGGCTTGGAGCCAGACAGTTTGGGTTTGGATGGTGGTGCTGCCTTGGCCCAGCTGTAACCCTGAGCCAGTCTTTTCGTCTCTCTCGGCCTTGTTGTAAAAGGGGTGGGTGACGGCTCCGGCCTCACGGGTTAAGCGGAGTAGGTGATGTTACGCATGCATGGTGCCCCTTGCAGAGAACTTTCCTCCCGGGGACTGCAGGGCCATCAGAGGGGAGAGGCAGGCAAGGGCTGCGGGCAAGGGCACGGGTGGCTTGTTGCGGCCAGACCCCAAGAAGCAGATGTCAGCACACACAGGGCTCGCCTTGAACAGGGGCGGTGCATTCCTGAGCCAAGGCTGATAGCCAGGGACACAGGCCAGGGGCGGAGGGAAGGGCACTGCCAGCCCTGGTGGCTCGGCTGACCCTCCTGTGTTCAGCTCTCCACGGACCACAAGGCTGGGCTTGAAGGAGGGCCTGAGGGGGTGCCAGGGGCATGTGGGGGGGACCTTTCAGCTCTGGAACAAAATGTCTGAGGAATGACAAGGGCCTTCCTTGTGTGACCAGGGTTGGGGGAGGGAAACTGTCACAAAGCCCAGTTGCTGCCTCTGGGAACCTGCAAACTAACAACACAGAGAGGAATGAGGAACGTGGCCACCCCAGGCATGAGCAGCATGGCAAGATGCAGTCAAGGTCCCTGAGAGGAGGCCTGGCTTGTCTGGAGGGCAGACTGATTGCTGTGGCCTGTTCACAAAGGTCCGCCTGAAGTGGGACGCCTGGAGTGAAGCAGGGACAGATTCCCAGATGGGAAGAGGAGGAGGATCCCAGGAGGAGACACGGAAACACTCACGGTTTCTGAGAGCCACTATCTGGGCCATTACAGGGATCGTGGCCTCACCCTTCCCTTCAACAATATGGAAAAAAGAAAAAAAGGGGCTGGCCCGGTGGCGCACTGCTACAGTGCGCCGCTTGGGAGCGCAGCAGTGCTCCCGCCGAGGGTTCGGATCCCACATACAGACCGACCGCTCACTGGCTGAGCGAGGTGCGGACGCAACACCGAGGGTTGCGATACCGTTGCCAGTCCCGGTCCAGTACGGGCGCGACACTGAGGGTTGCAATCCGTTGCCGGTCATGAAAAAAGACAAAAAGGAAAAAAAAAAAAAAAGAAAAAAGAAAAAAAGAACTAAACAAGACTGCTGCTGTTATCATTGCTGCTTAATTCGGCTCTGAAAGTGCCAGTCAATGTAATAAAATCCAAACCAGAAATAACAAAGTGGCACTATTAGAAAGAAAGAGACTATTTGTCCAGTTGGATTTAGTAAGAAAGAGAGAGACTACATTTTCATTATTTTCAAGGGTATGATTGTCTACCCGGGAAACTCAAAAGAACCAACTGAAAAACATCTAGAATCATGAAGAGATGGGTGAACATAGCTGGACACTATACACCTAGCCAAGTATCAACTGCTTCCCTGAACACTGGAGAAACCTCGACCATAAGGATAAAAACCTCAAACATATAAGGGTTAAATTTAAAAAGAAACATCCGCAAGACATATAAAGAAAAGTATAAAACTGTGTCGAGAGAGATAAAAGGAGTCTTGAGTTAATAGGAAAGATGCCTTATAATTTCTGGATGAATGGAACGATGTAAATTCTTTCAAGAAGGGGAAAGTCACCCAGTGCCAAGGACAGATCAGTGTGATGCCCAAGTCACCCAGACAGCACCCCGGGAGAGGGCAGCCCAGACTCGGGGCCCAGCAGAGCTCACCCCATCACACAGAGGGGCAATGTGACCCCCTGGGGTTCTAGGAAACGGTCTGATTCTGGAGAAACGTGAGGGTAGGACACCATCTTACCCAAATCCCATTTGGCAGAAGCTAAATATTCAGATGTGAAACCATAAAAAAATAGGAAAATAATATGTATGAAGAACCTTCTAAGCATGAAAGAAATGAAAGGCATCTCTACGGGTGAAAGCGAATACATTTCACTACATAAAAAAAAAAAAAAAAAATCTTCCCACAACTCATACTTAAGCGCAAAAGGCAGCAAACTCACTAGGAAAAGGGCTCACTGCCGAGACGCACGGTTGACATTTCCACGCACCGGGCAGCCCTCTGGAGCCGCCTGGCGGAGCTGCTTTGTTTATCTGGACCCGGGGATAGGAGCCCTGGCAGGTGCGCTTGCTCTAGAGGCTGGGATGGTGTCCCTGTTGTGGTGTATGGGACTGGCATGCGACAAATGCCATCGGACCCCCCTGTCACCTCAGCCAAGAGGCCAGAGTTCCTTCCAGGGCACTAGATAGAAGGCCCCATGGGCACCAGGGTATAGTCCAACTAGGAACCAGGAAACAACCTGCCCTTTTCTCTCATGAGTGTCTGGGTATGAGAGAAGGGGATTTCCACAGAATACTGTGATGCTGGCCACGGACTTCCAAATGCTACTGGCAACCAGACAACCAGATCCCCACAACCTCCCACTGCATCCCCTGCCCCAAAGCCAGCGTTCCAGACATATCTCGGTGAGATGTCAGAGGAGGTTTCGAGGTTTCACCAGCAGGGAAGAAAGAAGCCTTCTTGCCAGCATAGCTGGTGGGACGAGATTTTGAGAAAGGGAAGCCCTTGTCTTCCCTTATCAGAAGGAGGCCCAAGTTTATCAGCTGTACGATCTAGACACCTCTAATCAAAGCTAGCAAACTGTTTCCTAGAAAAAGAACGAAAGCATGTACTTTGGCAGACAATGAAATCCCTGCCAGTGCAGAGAGATTAAATGCTTCCAAAGTACAGAATTTCAGCTAATTTCCTGTGAATTGGCTATGTCACAGAAAACCTGCTCAGATACTCTCTCAGGTGAAAATAAAGCAGGAGGAGGTACAAATCAGAACTGGGGGAACAGGCTCTCTCCTCTCCGGGTTCCAAGCTCAGACGCCAACCCCGGTGGGAATACTACTCCATTCATGACACCGCTCCTTGCGGAGGGTAAATCTGCCTCACTAGGTAACACTTACCGAGTTCCTACTCTGCACACCATGATCCTTAAGATCTGCAGTAAAAGCAACAAGAATTTTCTAACCTTTGGTTGACATCATCAATATATTTCCCCAAAGCAAAGCATATGCAAATTATTTTTTGCAAATTAAATCCTAACACAGAGGCTCTACTTTTTAAAAAAAAGTATTAAATGGGGACATTTTAAAAATGCACTGGGGCATGCTTTTATTCAATGGAAATTAAAAATTAGTAACAACAAATTTTCCTGTCTTATTAAACAATGTGGCTTATGTTATAGTACAGAAATACAATAGAATACTGTACAGCCACCGAGAAGGACGGGACAACAGAATACTGGACAGGCACTGAGAAGGACTGGACCAATCTACTTGGCCTCTGGGAAGGGAGTCCACGTTTGGAGAGATGGCAAGTTACAGGGTAGAAAGGATAATTTTTTTTTTAATTTTTGTTTTTAAAGAAACAGATACATGCACATTTATGCACACATAGAAAATACCTGGAA